GGGTAGTTCTGGGCCACACACTGGATGTCCTGAGGCTGTTCACAGATATCTGCCCCAGTGGCTCTGATCCTGTCATATGTCTCAATGTCCCCTCCCTCTCTGTCAGAAGTGGGGTAGTCTGTATCGAACCACTTTGTCCACTGGCATCGGGGCTGGCAGGTGGTGGAGGTGACGGGACTGCTGACTGGGTGTGTGGAAGGTGCAGATCCTGTGTGGATAATGTTGGTCATCATGCTTTTTTCAGTCTTTAAGGAGGTGGTAGCTTTGGTGGTGGAGGCAGCTGTGGCTGAGCTCATGGTGGTGCTTCCAGGAGAATAGGATGGTCCAGGTGAGGTCAGGGAGGTAGAGGAGTATGACTTGCTGACTTGGCTGGAGGTGGTAGAGAGTGAGCCAGTTGTGCTGAAACAGCTAATGTCTTCCTCACAGCAGAGCACACGGATATGGTAGTTGAAACAGGTTTGGTTTTTGGCCTGTTTGCTGTTCCTGCAGATGAGTCCAAAGTCCACATTACAAACGACCTCCTGGCCCAGCTGCTGGAAGGACATGTTGGGGAAGAGGACGGCTTCACATTCAATGTCCACAGGTTTCTCGCATATCTGGATACCTGTCTTGTTTCTAATATGATAGTAGGTCTCAATGTCTCCCCCAAAGGGACCAGGTTGGGGTTTGTCACTGTCCAGCCAATCTGTCCAGGTGCATTGAAACGTACAGCCTGTAGAAGAGGTCCTCCTGGTTGTAAGGGCTGAGGAGGGACCAGTGGTTAGCCGTGACGAGGTTTGGGCCTCCCTGGGTGTGGCTGTGGAAGAAGCCATGGTGAGGCCAGTGGTTTTTCTGGGGGAAGAAATAGACTCTGTGGTGCTGGTGCTGGTGGGCATGTTGGACACAGGCCAGGAAGTATGTGTGAGTGACCTGGAAGTAGCAGTGGTGGCAGTGCCTGGTGTAGGGGGAGACCCTGCAGTGGTGGCAGGTCCCTGGCAGTGGCTGACACTGCAGCACAGCACACGGATCATGTA